GGGGCGAGTGAGGAAGAGTGAGAATCGGGACAATAGCAGCTCAGGCCACGTTCTGAGCCCTTTAAGGGCAACGCCGTGGCGGCGGCGATGGCGGGAGGCGCGCGTTTGCGCAGGGTGCCGGCGCTTCGGCCACTTACCGGCATGACCCACGGTGGTGACGGCGGCGATGCTCCAGCGGCCGGCGGGTAGGGGTTCGGTCTCCTAGTGCGCGCGCGTCGGGAAGAGGAACCCAGCCCCGCGTTTCAGGCCCCGCCCTCCTGGGCCCGCCCCCTCGTGGGCGGGCACCACACAGGGCCCGCCCCCTGCTCTGCCGGGCCCGGGGCGGGCCTCTGTGCGCCTGCCGCCAGTGGGCAGCCCCTTCCTGGCGGGCGGGTCCCGGACATCCGACACCAGGGCACTGCAGGTTAAAGCGAGTAGGGGACGCCGGCCTTGTCCCCTTCTGCTCTCGGCCATTTTTAGACCTACGGCCCGATGTCAGAGGAGCGCTGGCGGCGTAGTGGGTTACGCGTTGGGCTTCAAAGCAAAAGGTCAGCGGTTTGAAACTGCCGGCGGCTCCGGGACAGAAAAATAGACGTTTTACTCCGGTGTAGACTTCCAGTTTCGGAAACCCACGCGGCCAGTTCTATCTACCCAGTGATCCCTGTGCGGCTCGGTTCGGTTGCTCAATGCCACGTCCTGCTTTAGGGACGGGGAACCCAAGGGGAGGGTAGAGAACAGGACAGACGCGCCCCTCCCCAATAGCTCACAATAGACAATCTCCTTCAGGGACTCGGCCAACGTTTATAGCAGCACGGGCTCGCGTGCTGGGCGCTCTGGTGGGAAAGGCAGCCCAGAAGGGACGGAAGGTAGCAGGCAGTGGCCCTCGGTGTTAACCGCTGTCACCAGGGAACCAGGGGGCTCATGGGCGCATTGAGAAAGAATCCCTAAATCAAGAGAGGAGAGGAGGGCGAGCTTGTGCTTGAAGCGCGGAGGTCTCGCAGCTACGAAGCGCTCTGCTTGCTGTCCAGTGAGCCACCGTTGTGCTTCCCAAACACAGTTTGGCTCTCAACCTCGGGCAGAGGGAGGGTCAGGGATGTTTCCGTGGGAGCCTTTTCTCAGCTCAGCGGACTGTTGGTGGAAGATCATTTAGCTCAGTCCTAGAGGAGGGTGTGTGTGGGTGGGGGTGGGGGTCTTCTCTGGTGATTGCAGGGGCAGGGGCTCAAAAAGCAAACTCACTGCCATCCAGGGAAGTGTAGAACTGCCCTGAGAGCTTCCAAGACTATCTCTTCAAGCCCTGTATTCCAGAGTTTGCTTACTAAGGAGCTTTGGTGGCATACTGTGTACATGTTGGGCTGCTAACTGCAAGGTCAGATGTTCCAAACCATTAGGGGCTCCTGGGAGAAAGATGAGGCTTTCTACTCCAGCCTGGGAAAGCTACAGGGCAATTCTACCACTCTGCCCTATAGGGTCACGATGAGTTGGAATCAACTCTATGCCAGTGAGTTTGTTTTTGTTTTTAAACTTCCTAGTAGCTGGTCGCCCATTAAGTTATGATCATGACTACAGTCTCTTGATATATTGTATCCATTCTTCTCCCGACTCCCTTTATTCATTGTCCAACTTTCACATGCATGTGGGGCACATGAAAATGCCACCGTGTGGGCCAGGGAAGGAAGGACTGGGCAGTGTTTCATTCTGTTGCATGTAGTGTCACTACGTGTTGAAGCAGCTACCCACCCACCACTCATTACATGTCTTTTTCTTCTTATTGTATTTAGTTATTTATTGTAATCAAAGTGGGTTTTTCTGAAGGACAGGACACAGTTCAGTCAGATGTCTTTATATTAAGCTTTCCTGGTTCAAATTATGGCCTGGTTCCTCTCTCCTCATTGTTAACAGGGAGTGACAACAAGTTGCCAACTTCAAGTTAGGGAAGAGCATAAAGGATCCACCCTTGGCCTAAGTTCAAGGAACACCAAATGAATGTAAGGCACAAGCCTTGGGCAGGCCCAGTCCCGGATGTGGAGGCCCGCCTCCGGCCGGGTGACTAGGAAGCACCGGGTGCTTGAGGCACACAGATCTAAGTCTGCATCTCAGTCCTCACGTGTACCAGCCCTGTGACTTTGGACAGATTACCTCACCTGTTTATGCCTCAGCAGCCTCAACTCGAGAATGGGGGTTGTTAGGGACCTCACAGTTTTGCATCTAAGCCTTTTGAGAGTGGGGAAAAAAAACAAAACAAAGCCAAACCCAGACAAAACTCACTGCCATCGAGTCAGCTCCGACTCATAGCAACCCTATAGGACAGTCAACAGCCCCCTTTGGGTTTCCTGAGCTATGCATCTTCACAGGTGCAGTCCTCGCAGCTTTCTTCCTGGGCGTGGCTGCGGAGTAGACACGGCTGACCTTTCTGCTACCATCTGGGCTAGGCGGGGGCTGGGTTCTCTAAAGAAGCAAATCCAGTGTCAATCCTATAAGAAAGAGCTTTCTATCAAGAAATAATTATATATCAAGAAGGCATCCCAGTCCAGTCCAACTCAAGTCCATAAGTCTGCTGCTAGTCCATAAATCCCTCTTCATTCCCACGTGGCTTCCAGCCTGAGACAGAAATGTGATGCAGGGAGAGGATGGGCTGGTGGGTGTGCAGTCACATGGATCCGAGGTTGGTGGAAACATGGCAGGGTGCTGACAGCGCTCAAGGACTGCGACCCACATCCTTGGAGGTAGGCAGAGTTCCCACAGGCAGGAAGGCAGAGGGGCAAAGAGAGAGGGAGGTTCCCAGTGTCGTCTTCTAAGGCCATGCCCCCATGGAGGTGTCCTCAGCCTGTGATCTAATTGACAGGTTGGAGTCCACTCCTACACGTTTACAAAGATTCACGTTGACATAAACTCATCTAACTACCACAGCTGTTCAACCCACACACCGCCAGGACTCTGAGAAGGGTCAGAGATGGCAGTGCAGATGCCAGGACAACTTGGCAGTCGAGTTGGGGCATAAATGGGATAATATATACATGGCATAGTCCAGTGCTTGGCACATGGCAGGCAAGAAAAACTATTAGTATTCTGTTGGGGTATGGGGCCCCCAATATTCAAATGGGTCCTCAGAAGTGACTTTGAAATTGCAGAAAATAGCAGGGCACAGGGGTTCCTGGTCCTGATGTCAGGACCAAGAGAATGAGTGTATTTTCCAATGGGTCTTACAGATCGTTCCAAAGGCACACACATCATGCAGCCAACATATTACATAGTCAATATCACAAGCGGGTAACATATTAAACCAGAAATGAGGTGAGACATCACCTTGACCTAGTGCTAGTTGACCTTAAGTGCCCCTGAGCTCTCCCCGTGGGTTTGGCTATAGCACCTGATTACTCTTTATCTTCAGATACCCTCCTAGCATAGTGAAGTAGCCAGACACAGTAATGATTCATCTTTTTATGGTAGCTCCTTTAGGACTGCTCCTTCAGATAGATGATGGTGAGGAGCGGGGCCACATTTTTGGCCTGGATAATAACCTGTAGCTGAAAACATTTCTATCTAGGAACAATGAAGATCTGTATCAAAATAGTGCTAGTTTTCCATGCCTGTGGTTGCAAGGGTAGAAATAAGGCCACTAAATACACTCTACCATGTCCTCCGTTTACCACAGTAGTCTTCTTCCAATTGGGAGGAAGAGGGAGGAAAGGAGGGAGGAAAAGAGGGAGCAAAAGAGGTCCAGATGTGAGCATCAGCTTCCTGGTGGCAAGGGGGCAGTTGTGCAACAGGGCTGTGGGAGCAAGATGGCTGTGGGAGTGGGTTGAGGAAGAGAAAAATGTCTTCATCAAGGCAAATGCCACAGGGGACAGACAGACAGACAGACAAGGCACAAGAAAAGCCGAAGGCTCATAAAATTGGGGCTTGAGGGTGGGATGGTTACTTAATAAGAAGGCAGCATTAGGACACCTAGTCTCAATTCACTGCCATTCAGTTTATTCTAACTCATAGTGACCCTATAGGACAGGGTAGATCTGCCCCTGTGAGTTTCAGAGACTGTAACTTGGAATAAAAAGTTCAGTCTTTCTCCCTCAGAGAGGCTGGTGGTAAAACAAACCAACATTGGGGTTTGCAGCCTCACATAATGGGGTACAACTGCCCCTGGGGGTTTCCAAGGCTGTAAATATTTTCAGAAGTAGAGAGCTTGTGCAGAGTGGATGGTGAGTTTGAACCCACTGACCTTGTGGTTAGCAGCTGAACACATAACCCACCATGCCATGAGTGCTCCTTTTGGAAACCTATTGGGGTGGCAAACAAAGGGCTATCAAAGAGGAGAAGAAGACGAACAGTATAGTGCTGTGAGGGATCACCAATTCCAACTCAAACGGTGCTGTTCCATAGAGTAGAACTGCCCCATAGGGCCTGAAGCTGCCGTTTTAAGGGAGCAGATTGACAGGTCTTGTCTCTTTGCCAGGTTTCAAACCACTCACCCATAACCATGTATGGCCAAGTCTCCTTGTACATGATAGTGTCACTCAAATAAATGGTCTATGTGTTTACATCAAATTAAGAATTCATGTCCATGTATCTCTGGGACCTGTCGGCTGTGGCAATCTCCCTTGCTGGCCATGGAAGAGTAGTATGTTCTTGTTTATTGGCAAAGTGCTCACCATTTAATTGGTATCAGATTCTACCCAGCACAAGTAACATTCTTTGCTGTTAACCTGATATGTTTATGGAGGGGGCTATTGGGAAAACTTCTAACTGTAGTTGAAATGTTTCTAGGGTGCTGAACTAACCCATGGATGGAGGAGGGAAAATAAGATCCAAGAAATCCCAAGTGATGAGTCTTCAGCAACTTGGATGAAATTTTATTTTAAACCTTAAAAATTTTTTTTAATTTAAATTTTATTTTATTTTAAAACTTGACTGCTGACATTTTCATGTTAGTGATGGTTAGGCCATTCCAGAGCAGCACTTTAATTGGCCTAAATGCTATTTTTAAGTGAATAAAATGAAGAGTTCAAGCAGAAAATTAAATATATGCTTCTTTGTATGAAAAAAAGAATTTAATTAAAATAAATACAACTAAAGGTTATGTTGGATGGGTATGGGATTTGAGGCAAAGATAGACCACTTCTACTCAACTCTTCTTGGGCAAGGCAGATTACAAGGTCAGGCCTCTTCTTAAAGGGGACAGAAAAGTGTCCTCTTGCCAGTTCCCTGGAAAGAGGAGAAAGGGCAATGCCAGAAACCAGCACTGCCCACCGCTGGCATGCCTCTTTAGACAAGGGGTGCATTCTGTGGGACACAGCACAGCACCCGACACTCTAGCGGACTCCCAGCACTGTCAGGAAGGTCTGAGGACGTTTGTCATGCTGTCCTCTCTCTCTCTCTTTTGTTCTCTGCCAGCCATTCTAAGAGATGGGTTTTTAAGTTAGGCTAACAAGACAATCTCAGTTCCTCTTTGTCACAAATTGGCTGTGCCAGGCCTATGACCTCTCTGAGCCTCCCCGTTGTGGCCGTGTGAAATCCGGAGAGTCATTAGAACCACCGCACAGTGCTCTGTGAGGGAGGTGACAATGCCCTTCGAAGACTCGGCTCAGAGCTTGGTCTGTTCTAACAGTGAGATGCTGCTCTTAGGACAGAGTTAGGACAGAGTTCTTTTAAAATGACATGGTATGTGAAAATACCATGTAAAATAAAGAAACATAAACAATCCAAAAACATGTAACTATCCTTAAAATCTGTATTTTACTCTCTTCCACAGAGGCAGGTAAGTGTTATCAGAGTGTTGTAGGTCTTCTCAGGCCTTTTTTACTTACAAACATGGATAAGCACTTGGGCATACATGGTGATGGTTCTATGTTCAGGGCACACTGTACATCACTTACAAGATGCTCTTTCAAAGAGCAGTATCTTCTGTGCTCTGTTGATACACAGAATATGGTAAATCATACACATACAATAAATGCACACAAAATAGCTCCATAGCTATATAAATGACAATGTTTAAACTAATTGCATAAAGTGTTCTAGTACATATTATAGTTCATTTAGCTATTCTCTTATTGGTAGATGTTCAGATTATTTTTTGATATTATAACCAATGTACAAGGTCAGCAGGAAAGAGGAAGCTCCGCAGTGAGAAGGACGGACATTGAGGCTCCAGCCTACCAGCTGTGAGGGTGGTGCAGGACTAGGCCGTGTTTCCTTCTATTGCAAGCAGAGCAGCTCTGCCCGGAGCCGACTCGACAGTACTTAACAACCACACAGAAGGCACATCTCTGCTCTCTGTACATGTGTATAGATACCAAGAGAGGCCACTTCTGGACCACAGGGTATGCGACTTTTTCATTTTTAACAGATACTTCAAATTGCTCTTATGATGGCTATGCTGACATGTATTTGCTACTAATAGCATATGATTTCTTACTATAATTTTTTTGCCATACAATCTGTGAATAATTATTTAGCTTGTTTCCCCCACTTTGGCTTCTCCATTGTTGAAATGTATGGTTGTAAGGATTACTTGAATAATTATCTTCCTCTCTATATATTCTTTTGACTTATAAGACTTGGGATTTAGAGTGATATCAACCTGATGTTGAATACTATCTCTGTAAAACAAAGTTAATATTTAGCATAAGGTGACCAGATTTTAACATTGGTAAAG